CCAAACCGTACGGACATTAGCGTGTATGGAGCATCATGATCATTTTACATGTGTAGAAAAATGGCAAGCAAGCAAACCATGGTTTTGCCGCTTGTCCCATTATGTGTGTTTCTCGAGGTACCATATGTATTTGTTATAGCAGTTTGAAGTGTTCTCAATAGCATAGCTTCACCTGGTTGGTCAGTCACGTATAAAAGTAAAACTTACCCGTTACCTTTATTTTAGCGTGATAACTCCTGTTGTATGCTGCTTGTCGCAAGGTGGTGTTTTAGTACCGTTAAAAGAATGTTTGCAGTATTGATTTATATAAAGCACGAAGATCGTTGTTGTGTAAACGCAATGACTGATGTGTTGTAGTGTCGTCAATGCTAAGGCAGCTGTACATATACATGTGGGCTGTATCTATACCACAAACATTTGGTGGCATTTTTACCTAAAGTTGTGAAGAAGTTTGAGTGTACGTAGACTATCCAGTAGAAATGCCTTTTTGCCATCCAAAAGATACAGAAAATATGAAAGGTAGCAACGATGGCTGTAGAAATGTATAAACACGTAGAAAAATAAACGTTGAGTAAATGATACTTGATACATTCGTCCAGTATTCACTGTGTTGTTATATAACATCAGGAATGTGTCATAAATAAACAGCAGTGTACCAGATACATTTTACATCATTTAAATTCCTAATAAATCTATAGACATATTTTGCGCATTTATGGTAGCCTCTACCAGGCTTCGGAAGGCGACTGGAAAGAGTAGAAATCGGCCAAATAGTGAGATAACATGCTGTGGGCGCAGCAAAGTAAACAGTTCTCTCTACCGGACCAACGCCCCTGGCATATTATCTCTCTGTTTGGTCGATTTCTACTCTTTCCAGCCGCCTTCCAAGTATAATTATAATATGTGTATAGATTTATTAGGAATTTAAATGGTGTGAAATGTATCTGTATTTTGCCTGACGGTTACTCTTCCCTCATAACCTCAATGAAAAGTGGCCTGCAGGCCGATTTGAGAAATGAAAGAATGGTTCAAACAAACGCGTGTTCCATCCACTATGTTGTTATGGCAACAGACAAGACCAATCACACATGACTATTGATGTAATTTTCACACAATGTTACATTCAAAATTTAAAAAACCAATTTGAAAACACCGGTACCTCCCTGACTTAATCAACCATGACTCTAATAATGTAGCATAATGTGAGCAAAAAAATTAGTCTATAGGTCTCTCCCTATAAATTTCATGATTTGAAGATAAGTTGTGAGTTGTTCGCGTGTGCTTCTCTGATATGGGTTGAGGTCCTATTCTTGCAATGGATACAGCTTTTTCATGATTTTATCATCTGAAAAACAGTGGCAGGTAAAATTTGCAAATTAGAGCATATGTCAGTAATGGTCTCATTGCTGTCGTTTGTGGCCCGCGCCAACTTATCGGTGACTCAGCAGTGATCGCAGCCTCTCCGCACCGACCCTGCGACAACCTGGTAAGACAAAGGCCGACGACATCCGACAGTCCTACAACACTTCCACGTCAGGAGAAAACGACTTTGCAGCTGGTGCCATTTTCGATCACGTTAGCAAGTCACCGGACCAGGCGTTTCTCTGACAAGGGAGGTGCAACTGTAGCAAATTATTCTTAGACTATAGAATACTAGTACTGTCTTTGACAAATTGCAACGCAAGTGAAACTATCTGTAATATCTAAAAATCTAGAGAGACAGAGCGTAGAGAGACATCAGACGAATTTTAAGGCAGAAGTTTCAGGTGATAGAGAGGCACTGATACGTTTTCAGTGAGCACAAGGTTTACCTTCAAAATGGAAACGAGATTTCAGTCCAGGTTTGTCATGTTGATCCTTTTGGTGGCTTTGTCAGTATCATCCAAACCCTTCACAAATCAAACCTGCTTTCCGACATGTCAAAAGAAAACGTTCACTAGCTGCCTGCCCATCAGCAAAATGCAGGGTGATTACTTGAACCCTCATCGGCATTCTGTGAACCAATATGCAGGGAGGTCCGAGTGCATTTCATGTAGCAAAAGTTACACGCATCCCCCTGAAAGTGTAAATAGGTCATTAGAAAGTTGCCTACAAGGTTGGAAATCCCTCGCTATGAGAGGTTTTCAATTTGGAATTTTGTCGTCGCAAAAACTAGCTGTTATCGACCCTACTTCTCTTAACGCTGAAAAGCATTATCAGGGTCAAATTTAGTGGAAAGAAGCTTGTAGACTCCAGAGCAGATACTTTGCATGATATACCATGGGAGGTTGTGATGGATAACTGTGACCATGCAAAGACACAGCAGTGGATACGATTCAAGGCTATTGGCTTAGCATTACACATCAATTATGACACCAATGACAACAATTTCACTATTGACTGGTTTAATACGTCGGGAAGTAAGAAAAACATCCCCACAAATCGGTTCCCGTGTAATCCACTCCCAAAGGAATTGCGTTCGGGTCATATTACGTCTTATCCCCCTTTTGTCATTGTAGCAAAGAATGGGAAGCCAGATAGAAACCAGGTTTTATCGAGTCAGTGTTTGAACGCGTGGAGAGGGACAGGGTCAGGGGGTATAGGTCTGGCGTTGAGAGGTCCCTCAAGTTTACAGTTTTCTTACGTAGAGACACGAGACAAACTGGGTGACTCGAGAGGAGAGGGCTTTAGCATGGTAGCAAGCAACCTAAAACAAGAAACGACTAGGAGCGATTCTAGGTCAATAAGGGTTCCCTGTTTTACTCTCATTCATGGCGAGAAGCATACGTCGTTCTTTAACGTTTCCACAACGGGGGAAACACGTAACAACATGGCAGGAATAACTCCAGTGTCTGTCCTTGGTACTGACAAACAAACTGGGTCTTATGCTCCTCCAACTACTGACAACATGTGCAACCAAACAAAGACAACAAATATTACTCAATGTGAAAATAATACTGCTGGGGCAACCAATAACGCTATGAATACGTGGATTGCTCTGATTGTAAGCCCCGTGGTTGCAATTGTTCTTATCGTTTCCTGTGTTTATGCTACGCGTTACTACCGTAGGAAATGTAGGGAAAGTAGCAATGGTCCTAATCATGACAACAGGGGATCCAGTGGCACAGGCCTTGAGTCCTATGAGACAACAGGTTTATCTACAGGAATTAGGGTCGACGAGGTTAGCAGAAATACATGTAGTGACACCCGGTGGCCAGAAAATAGCACGGGAGACACTTCTGTTCCAAGGCATGCTATACTGAGGCAGTTACAGAGGAACCCAATGTACCACAATGATACACAAGAAACACCAGAGACATACACTAGTGATGCCCGAGGGCCAGAAAATAGCACGGGAGACATTTCTATTCCAAGAGATGCTATCCTGGGGCAGCTACAGAGGAATCCAATGTACCGCAGTCATTCACAAGGAACGCAGCAGGCAGACAGAAATAGTGACGCCCGAAGGCCAGACAATAACACGGGAGACATTTCTATTCCAAGGGATGCTATTCTGAGGCAGCTACAGATGAACCCAATGTACCGCAGTCATTCACAAGAAACGCCACAGACAGAGGGTGCGCGTGACAGCTGCCGAACAGATCTAGACGAGAACACTGCCCACGAGTCATTCTCAAACACATACAACCAAATCGACGAGGAAGATGTGTACGTCCCGCAGAGACACGACTACTGCGAAATATCAGACGACGATGCTAGTGAAGAAAGCGACGACGTGTTTGAACCTGATGACGGCGTGAGAGACGAGACCGTCGGGACTGCACCGGTACCCGGGCAGGCCCCGCCAACCGAGAACTCTCATCCTGAGGATGATGAGGAATCTTTGACTTTCTATGCTGCCGCTTCAACTGAAGTTCGCCTGCCCACAACACTAAACGTTAGAGCTAATACCTCACTTTATAACATAGACACGACATCAGAGATTTCGAGCCGCCCAGTGGAGAATCAGCAAGTCGCGAATACCGTTGATCAAGTAAGAGGCAACTTCTGAAGTGACTGTCAGTTGAAATGTGTTTGATCGTGATTGCATGCGAAAATATTTAATACCGAAGGAGAAGGCGAATGAAAAATGACATGCAATGTTAAGGGCAATGTATCGTAAAGCCAATCTTTTAGTTTTATCTGTTTACCTGAATACCGTATGGAAGTTTTACCTGAATTTACGTTAAGGTTTACAAGTCTCCATTTTATCTAGTTTCATTGGTTTATATTAGAACTATCGTCAGAATGCAAAACTGCACTTTTGAGTTCAACCTATTAAATTATGCAAAAAGGAAAAGGAAGTAGCCAAGTGATGCATGGACACGTGCACAGCACACAGACTATTCAGTTTAACTGTTGTTTGCTAAAAATACGTATGCTATGAATAAATGTATACAATGTTCATACAGTTCTGTTACCAATTTTGTTTATTAAAAAATGAATACATGGTACGCGGTACAAAATACATAAGAGAGAGAGAGAGATGGAATATGGATCGTGTCTGTTCATTTTGGTCATTTCTGATTTCTGTCAGCGTTGGATTGTAGTCTGAATGAGCTAGTATATGATCTGTAAGTGGGGAGTATTTGAAATTGATAAAAGGACCAACATAGTCAATAAACTTTCAGATATATTCTTCATCTCAATTGAAGTGCGTCTAATATTTGATATTCTATTATATTGTATGATTTATATTATATATATATATATATATATATATATATATATATATATATATATAGTATAGAGTAG